ATCCCATCACTAATCAAAAGTAAAAGACCAAAAATGTGATTTTTGTCCTTTTTAACATTACTCACTTCCTAGTACAAACAAATTTTTATTACTCAAAGATAAAATGAAATAAATTGTAAAGAGTAACTGAAAGGAAACTATAGGTATTTAAAAAGGATAAAAAAAAGTTTAGAAATAAGTAATTCCAGTCAAACTAGCTATTTTATTAATGTAAAATAGTTAAGAGTATTTTAATTAAGGCCAGCACTATGACGTCTAAGAGAAATAAATAAAAAATACCAGAGCAGTAACATAGGTTGACGTAAGTATTTAAAATTTTAAAATGCTGTAAATGGAAAAGAAAAGAAAAAAAAAAAGAGTAACTCATTTAGATCATAAATAAGTCCTGCTTTAAATCGCCTAATTCAAAATAATTCCAATAAAAAAAAAAAAAAAAAAAAAAATAAAAAAAAACTTTGCTTTTAGGCTACAGTAAATATTACCAAATATAGTTATGTTCAATAAAGGCTTTCATAATAAATTCACACATGCATATGTACATTTTCTATCCAGAGAAACTTTACTACAGGCATAATTAAAGTAAGTGAAATGCATGCAAAGACAATAACTATTTTAGTATTTTTTTTTTTTTTTTTTTTTACTAAATTATAATCTATACATTGAAATATCAAGTATAGTAAAGACAGAATACACTATCAAAATGTTAATTTCTATATGCCGTGTCTCTTCAAGATGTGAGCAATTGTGTCTCCTTAATTTCCTTTCGAGCTCTTAGTAAATTTTGTCTTTTCACTATCTCTCCTAATCCCTGTTCTGCCAGCCATTTATACAAGTTTGTTAGGTAGGTTATTCACTGCTCTCCTCTGACCATCTTGCCTTTAATATGTCCTGTTAGTGTCAACTTCTCTAAGCCCTCTTTCTTCATTATGCACTCTAGAAATTTCAACTCTTTCTGATATTAAGTACGAGTGTCCTTTTTGTTTCTATTTTCTCTAAAACTTTGTTATTGCTCCATGTTATTCCCAGCATCTTTGTATAGAATCACATTTCTGTTGCTTCAAGCCTCTTCATCTGTGATGAGATTGTATAGCATTCACTGCTAAATAAGAGGAACAATATGACAACAGTTAAGTGCTTTTTTTGCTTCTAATAAGATTTTCCTGTTTCTTAATAGTTTGCTTAGAAAGGCATCTTTCACTATCCCAATTCACATTTGGATTTTGGTATTGCATTTTCCATCCTCCGCAAAATAATTACTAGATATTTCAATTTTGAACTTTCTTGATTTTGGCATCTCCAATTTGTAATTTGAATGATGGGCTTTTCATTTTGCTAACAACCACACACACTCACAATTGATGTTCAGTCCTTCCTTTACTACCTTCTGTAAGAGTTCCTGTATTTTCCTTTCTATATCCGTTAACAACACTGTTTCTGCATATCTTATGTTAAGATTGTGGCCACCAATAAGGATTCCTGGTAAGAATTCTAATTCCCTCAGAATCACCTCATTGTAATGGCTGATTAAATCTAGTAAGACATTCTTGTTTTACAATCCTTTCTATTTTTATATATTCACAAAAGTTCATTTACTATCTGTATGCAACTGGTTTACTCCAAGTATAAGTTCTTGATTATTATATATATATATATATATATATATATATATATATATATATATATATATATATATATATATATATATATATCTATCTCACAAGCTTACCTAACAGTTCTTTATGACATACTTTTTGCATTTGTTATAAAAATGTATCCTTTTGCATTTGTGTTGCTCTTAATGATATCATTTTGAGCATAAATATTACATTTCTTGTTCCAGTGTCTTTAAGGAAACTGCACTGTTCTTGTCGCATTTCTGGTCTAATTCTGCTGCATGTTCTATTCATTAGAATTTGGAGGATAAGTTTTTATGTGGCCCATTAGGCTGATTATATATAACCAAATATTACACACTACTTGTCTACCTAAAATGCCAATGGGATTTATTTAAAAACTGTTTATTTTGAGAGAGAAATCAAAGTTTTATTTTTCAACTAAGTACAATTTACATTTGCAAAATCCCAGCAAGTTCAATTCCTAATCAAGACATTGGCTTTCAGAAATCATAGAGTGCATCTCATGCAACAGGTAATAACATGCCTACTGAGAATGAGAATGTAAATTTTATTACCCGATTTAGAGGTAAATGAAAGGAAAATGCTTTAAGAATTCCTAAATATGTATAAATAGATATACATCTAATAAACTGTAGAGAATAGAAAATAGAAAAAAAAAGTACCTGTATGCAGCAAGCAACTTTGAAAAGGCTGAGTCTCCATCATAGATGTAAAGGTGATCCCAGCCACATTCAGTGGCAAAATGAAACATCTTTAAGTGAATTGGACGGTTTGTTTCACGAGGACTAATTAGCCAACTGCATTTACGGTTTTCTGAATAGTTTGCAGGTCCATCTGTCACAAGGCCAGTTGAGGTGACTAATCTGAAAAAGATGACAACATCTATTAGACAACAATCCCTTAGCTTTAAGAGTATGCAGAATTTAGTATTTTGGCAAGATTTCAGTCAACAGTATACATGTTAAGCAGATGTATACACAAGAATAACTTTCTACAATTTATATTTGACAACTCGCACATTAACATTTAGAACTCTGTAGCATTTGTAAATATTACTCCCTCCTTTTACCGTATATGGAATCCCCCTCAAAATATAGGGTTTTAAATATCAGTTCTATATATTTGAAAATGAAATAACCTGGCTCTTGATGAAAATAAGTCACCTATAGAGTGCTAAAGACTAACAAAAAAAAAAAAAAAAAAAAAAATATATATATATATATATATATATATATATATGGGGAAAAATATAAACAGGAATAGAATTTTTTTGGCAGTTGGAGTTTATTCATTGTGAAAAGGCTTTATCCCCAAGCCAGTCACTCCTAATGACGTTGGTTAAACCTTGATTTGAATTTATTCAAAGTTATTTCAGCTAATTTGAATCACCTATTGACAGCAAAGCATGTGGACTTAGCTATAGATTTTGTGGGTGGTCACCTTTACTTTTGTTTATTTTTGAAAGACTCATTTCAGGTGCAAGAAATATTATACCCAGACTGGCACAGACTGCAGAATTGTTCAGCTGCAGTAAATATAAAACAGTTTTTGTAGCTTTTAATGTTTTCCTTTAAAGTTATGTCCAACAGACATGTTAGCAAAGCCATTAAAGCCTTATTTAAGATCTCGGAGAAAAATGTTTTCTGAACAAGGAAAGAAATACAACTGTAAAGAAATGTTAAGGAACCAAATAAATCAGACAAAAACAGACCAATAGAGATGACAAGTGAGGTCACTTCTCAACCTTGTTTTATTGTGTCACAGTTCATACAGAAGGACAAACAGTATACTCAATTTGTCAAATAGGATGGGTTGATGATGGATTTGTCCAAATTGAAAAGCATTGAAAATAAAATTGTCTGATTGACAGAAAAACTAAAAACACTTGTAAAGTTCTCAAAAGACCAAATGATTTAATCACTGTTGAGTTTTGGATTTAAAGTTCAACAGCTTGTAAAAGGATTTTTCTAATATGGCACATTCTTCTGCCCACAGCTGAAGACATTTTGCTACAGAGCAAAATATTTTTCATATAGCATTTAAGGGCTAGTAGTGGACAAAGGTGATTGAGATACCCATCTGTTTTGGGAAAATCTAGTAATGTTCTTCCTTCAGTATAGGGGAGATTGGGATTCATGGTCACAATCATATGTATGAAGAGTAGATCTTCAACACTATGTTCAAAAGTTGTGGGCTCTTTGAAGAAGTCTGGGGAAGGTGTTGGAAAGGTCCCAGCAGTAGGATCATAGTCCCTTTGGTTTACATATTTGATAAGAGTCTTTGAGGCATACCGTCACAAATATATGCAGAAAAATTGAGAAATGCAAAAGCTTTGCTAGTCTGGGTAAGAACTGATTTTTTTTTTTTAGATGGGGGTAGACAAACAATTGGCCAACAGAGGGTATGAGCTGGAGTGAGGGTGCCATTTTAAATAGTGTACCTGTCCTCTCACCTTCACCCATCCCTGTTTTGTAAGTTTAGATACCTTCTTTAACAAATTCACCCTCATTCAATATGAAGTGAAAAGGGAGTTGCTCCATCAAAAGTAACTCTTAATGAGACAGGTAGAAACAAAGGAGCATGGGAAGAACTATCACATGGAGGAAGACAAAAAAAAATACCCGAGAGATCTGAAGGTTCTTAACTTCAGAACACTGGAACCAGGGTATAAAAATGCAGAGGGCCTCAAAAGATTTCCCCTCCAAGTGCAAAAACTTCTAACTGTGGCCAGAACATTCAACAAATCTAGTCAATGCTAGAGGAAGAAGAAAAAAAAAAAAAAAAAAAAAAAAGCCTTTGGAATGTTACCTCTATATCTATGGTGTGGTGGTGAAAAATTTGGTTCCAGGAGGGTGTCTAATATTCATTTGTCTTTCCCTCAGGAGAGTTGGAAATACAACTTTTCCAAGAGACACTGAACATACTGTCCTAATATGACAACCAAGATGAAGATGGCCCAAGAATCCATGAGCCATGCCACTGTTGCTCTTACTCCATACATGTTTTTCCTAGTTACCAATACCAGTTAACTGATTAAAACTCTCCAGTTATCTTCTCTGAATGGCCAAGGAGGAATCATCTAAGAAGGCTAGACATATCTAATGAACTTTAATATTCAGTATTATTTAATATTCAGTATTATTTAATATTCAGTATTATTTAATATTCAGTATTATTTAATATTCAGTATTATTTAATATTCAGTATTATTTAATATTCAGTATTATTTAATATTCAGTATTATTTAATATTCAGTATTATTTAATATTCAGTATTATTTAATATTCAGTATTAATTAATATTCAGTATTAATTAATATTCAGTATTAATTAATATTCAGTATTAATATATGTTGTATGGAAAAGAAATTTTATTCCGTAACTTTGAAGATGTGTTGTCAAAGATGTTTCTCAGCACATTTTACTAGCCAATGACAGTAAGGAGAAACTTTTTTTCTGAGAGGATCAATCTTGATATTATTAAAATAGGTATTTCTATTGAAATGAAGTCCTTGATCATAACTGACTGTGGGGGCATTAAAAACATTAACATACCTTCAGATAGTTGTTTTTTTTTTGTTATTTTCCCCCCTGTGAATTTATCACTAAATTAGATTTGGTCAATAAATTCTGAAGTCAACATATGAAGTAAGTAAACTTTGTAAATATAGCTAGAATTTGGCACCAATCCAAAGTTACCACTATCTGTCAAAGTTTCACTTAAGAGAATTAACTTAGATTGCTCAAATTTTAGTCTATTTGGACCATAGAGTTGTTCAGGTTCAAATAAACTTGGATAAGCCTAAGCTTGCAATGGCTAGTTACTGGAAATTTCCTTTTTTGAGAGGGAAAGGTTTCTTGAACCAACTGATACTAACCCTAAAGGGAATTGATAAAGATTGTTGTTTGGCATAAAAAAATGGCTCCACCTCAAAAGCAAGATTAGGCCTTTAACTGTTGACTACAGTTGTTGACTCAATTCAGATAGATTAGCAGCACAAAAAGCATTTGAACCAAGATTAGACAAGGCTGTTAAGAGATGTAGGCAAATAGCTAAAACATAACTGATCTTCTTTATCAAGAAAAACCAGCCACTGGTAGTTAGAGCCAGATTAAAAGACTGCCTGCCAAGATTTTTTTTAATCATTTCACCTCAAGCAAGGCAAGAGTGCCACTAGTATGCAGTGGGGTTACAGAGAGGGAAAGTGAGAGAAAAAACTGAGTATAGAGAAAATTGAGAAAAGGACAAAAGATGAACAGGGTTCAAGTGAACAGAAGATGGCAGTTGACGATGCATTTAAATTTTTGAAGATTGTAGTTCTCAGGGAAGCAAGTAAGCATAAGGGAGTTCCACTGTTGGGAAGTGTAAGAAAAGAAACTGTTGGAGTAGAAGTGGCAGTTACATTTAATTATTTCAACAGTAAAAGGATGCGACCTAGATGCCAATCCAATAGCACACTTAAAATCATGTAGTTGGGGAAAAAAAGGTTGTCAGCAGTTGCCATGAAAATATTTGTAGAAAAGACAGAGAAGCCATATCATGTCTGTGAGAAAGTGACTGAAGTTGAGATGCCAAGTCAGGATCAATTACATTGCAGATCCTTCTTTGGACTTTGTCAAGGACTTCAAGATGAACAGCAGAGGCTAGATATGGCAACAGTATTCAATGTATCACCAAATGGTAGATGGACTCCGACAAGAAAAACCTAGCATGACACAATGAACCAGCTTTTCTTGCAGTAAATGCAGCTATTGATTCAATGTAGTTGCTTCACTTCAAGTCAGTTGAAAACATGAGGCCAAGAAGGTGCAGTAAAACACTCTCCTAGAGTCAAGCATCAGCCATGCTGATGGTGGGCAGGGAAGTTTCTATATGATGATTAAATGAGAGCAGTTTAGGTTTGGAGGCATTAAAAATCACCAACCATATCCTGCCCCAGTTAACCACTGATTGGAGGTCCTTTTCAAGAGCAGTGGCCAGGTTAAGTTTTTCAGCTCTGACATTGAGATAGGAGTAAATAGTAGTGTCATCTGCATGAATGCCTAATTGGGAACTGATGACATCAGGAAGATCGTTGAAGATCAGAAACAGTGTAGGACCCAGTATAAAGCCTTGGGAGACACCCATTTTTGAGTGAAAGGATCTGGAAGCGAGCCCAATCAGGATAGCCTTCAATTTATGATTAGGTAGGAATGATTGAATTAAATCAATTGTCCTGTAATACTATAGCCCTGAAGTTTACATAGAAGACCAGCATTCCAAACCCTGCCAAATGCTTTCGAGATATCTATAGCCACAGCAAGACATACATGGTGTGCAGAACAACTGTGGAATACCATTGGTTGACATATCACCAGTGTCCCATTGCTGGATAGACAAACTGACTACAAATATATTTAGCTAAATAGTCTATTAACTAAGAATGAAACGGGTGTTTAAGGAAGATTGGTGCTTCTAGATCTCATTCCATTAATAGGGAGTATTAACAGAACTAGATCTAAAAGCAATGATCTTCCTTACATGTCACACATGTTTGTTCCTTTGCTGATACTAATCTGCAAATAAATGAAGCAAGGGTGTATTCTCCAATGCTTCACCAGGGGTGTAGTGAAGTTTGTTAGACAAGAATAAACATGGTGGGGATGGATTTAGTAATTTCCTGCTCTTGACTATGCTGAACAGAGTTTGTTCAAGATTTGTGCAAAGGTCTTAGCAAACCACTTGCAGGCATGTGCTATATTTTATGATCTCAAAATTTTATTATTCACTTTTAGCCTGCAGGTATATCCTCACTTTTGAAAATTAAATTTGTTTTTTATTTTTACTTTTAAAATCTACACATATAGATAATGTTAAAGACATC